TTAGAAAAATACAGGCCAACAATATTGAAGGGATTAGGTGAAAGGGAGGTATTTGGCAGAAATCTGATACAGAAGGATATAAGATGCGACAATGAGGCAGCAGTGGAAAAAATACTGTGGCAGAATCGTAACAACCACTTCTACTGAACTGGTCCAAACCTGTAGAATCCCACCAGATAATAACTTTTATTCTATATATTATAGATCTGAACTCTTTGAAGCAGAAACTTTATATATAATTTTATAAAAACTACACTTTATAAAGACAGTGCATTTTTGCTTTTAGCAGTTCTAAGTACTTATATTAGGCAGTTCCAAACAAAATCAGTTGTTACCAAGTAAAAGTATGTAGAACAGGTTATATATCTCAAAGAATTACCAGTTGTCTGCTTGCAGTTTTATGTTAGAACTATTCTTAACCTGCTAAGCTGCATGTGACTTCATGACTCTGACAAAGCCTTACCACTGAGTAAATCACCCCTTCATCATATTTACACTTTTTATAAGACTAGAACTAAGGCTACGGGAAGGGATATGCCTTTATATTGTCTTCTATTAGCGTATATACTGTGTGCATTCATATATTGAGAGTAGCTTAGTGAGCGGAATGCAAGTAATAACATTTCCCCCTTTCTTGTAACCTCTGCCCATGAAATAAGAACTTGGAAATGTATGGCTAGAGCTCAATAAGCTTCAGTGTGCAATTCTATCTCTGTGGACTGGCGTTAACCCGGTCCTAGAGCATCATATTCAACTTAATATAGAAACTCCCGTCATCAACACTGTGTCAGCATTTCCAGAGTAAAGACTTAGCATTCTGCTATTGCTAATTTGGGCAAATTGATCAAATTTCATTTTAGTGTTAAATAGAGAAAGATGCTGATCTACCTACAGGAAACATTTCCTTCCAAGAGGGGGAAGAAGACAAACGGGAAAGTCAAATGCTACCAATGTGCTGAGGATGCCACAGGAAAATGTTTCTTGGGTATAATTCTTTTAGAGGGTTATTGAAGCACTTGGAGGATTATCTGTGTCCTCAGGGTCACCTGGTTCCTGTAGTCTGCATTTTTTCTCTGGAAATCCATTCCTACACCCACACCATTCAAAGGGTGTTCATCCCAAATTGTATAGCTAAAAGTCTGTAGAGATTCTCAGTCAACCAGGTCGTGGTTGTCCCAAAGGTGCTTTTTTCAGGAGGCAACTGGACTTCCTGGTTTTTTTCTTTGAAGACATTTCACTTCTCATCAGGTGACTCTGAGGACACAGATAAACCTTCAAGTGTTTCAACGGCCCTCTAAAAGGATGCAAATGACCAGCTGTCTACAAGGAATATAAATCCTTCCATTCCCCACTATCCTGTCAGAGCTGAAGAAGCTTCTTGGATTAGAAGCAAAAAGTCTTCAAAGAAAAAAACAAGAAAGTCCAGTTGCCTCCTAAAAAAGCACCTTTGGGTTTATTGGGTATCACTACAAAGGTCTAAGCCAAATTGGGCTGTGTATGTGCTAAAGTGCTTTAGTTTTATAGGAAGATGGAGATAACAGATATGGTTGAAACCTGGTAGAATAAACAGAACCAGTGGGGAAATGCTCTCCTTAGAGACCAATTCTATCTAGAGAATAGGGAACATCCAAATAAATATGTGATGATATGTATAAAGCAGTCAGAGGCAGGAAGTAAGCAAAGGATACAACTTAATAGATCTTAACAAAAAACATTTACTGTTATAAAGCTGGTTTAAATATTAACTTACTTTCATCAAATGCTATTGCTGTTCTTTGTCTACATCAAGAGTTGTGTGTGTGTGTGTATCCGTTTTTTTAAAAAAAGTCAATATATCTATTTGATATATATGGATATACATTATATGTGTGTGTGTGTGTATATCGAGTTATATTGAAAAACTAAGTCTCTATGTCTGTTTGATTAATATTCTGTTCTGAAATGGACATTTTATAAAAATTTCCATGATAAATCCAAATATTGCACTGCCATATGTTACTCGTTACCTGTAAGAGTATCTCTATATATATCATTTTTAAAGAATCATTATTTTAACAATGGTTGGAAAAGAAAAATGGAAATTAGAAATTAAATATATGAACATAGAAATGTCTGTCTGTCTATCTATCTATCTATCTATCTATCTATCTATCTATCTATCTATCT